CCGACTGGGCTAACACGGACTGAGGTAACATGGACTAGGCTAGCACCGACTGGGCTAACACGGACTGAGGTAACATGGACTAGGCTAGCACCGACTGGGCTAACACGGACTGAGGTAACATGGACTAGGCTAGCACCGACTGGGCTAACACGGACTGAGGTAACATGGACTAGGCTAGCACCGACTGGGCTAACACGGACTGAGGTAACATGGACTAGGCTAGCACCGACTGAGGTAACACCGACTGAGCAAGCCCAGATTGATCTAACACATATTGAGTTAGCACAGACTGAGCTAACAAGGAGATGGCTAACACAGATGGAGCTAGCATGGAGAGAACTAGCATGGCCTGAGCTAACATACACTGCAAACCAGCATGTCCATAGCTAACAAGCTAGCCTGAGTAGATAATTGGTGTTTGAGTGAAGAGTTTCCTGTCTCTCACCTCCAGATCCTCCTGCTTCTTCTGCTGCTGCTTTGCTCTGAGCAGAGAAAAAACACGGAGACATGAAGCTACTCAGATGGTCTAGTCAAATAATCCTAGTTTCACTGGGAAGGGATTGTGGGGTCTGAGCTACTTTGTGAAAATATGAAATACTTTTCACACTCCGCATTGCAGCTCAACGAATGTAGGAATGTTACCTGAGTAAGCATGTCTGTGTTTCATATTCTTAGGCTATAAAGCTCAAGCGTTTTATGTTTTCTTGTGTTTCTCTTACACTCCACCATTTGGTTTGGTACATTTAGACACTTACTGACCTGTTCCTGATTGGTTCTTTTTCATTCAGAGAATCCTCTGATTGGATGTGAACAATCTGATTGGCTGGTAGCTTTGTTAGGACAAACCATTCACCAGGTCAGAGGTCAGATGCGATCCTGATGTTCATGGAAAGTCACCTGCTCTGCAGTGTGGGCAGGGGCCTCTTCGAGGTGCAGTTCTGGTTGTTGGGTTATTGGACTCTCCAGATCTCTCCTCTCTGATGCCGGCTCCACATCGGTGGACGAAGGAGTCACCTGGTCTGCTGGCTCAGGAGCAGTGGGCGGGGCCAGAGCCTCCACCTGCTTCTCTTCAGCTGCAGCTTCAGGATTGTCTTCAACTGGGCAGATGTCCACCAGACACCTGAGAACAAGACAAGTGAATGAAAAGAGATGGAGGAGAGGCCCCTTCAGGTGGGGGCCGGAGTCAGTTTGTAACAGAAAAAGTGTGACGACTGCAGCAGTGCCTAAATGTAAAAATGTATTGTTTTCCAGAAAGCACAATCAAATAACATTCTCTGGGTTCTTCACAGAACAAATCCAGGAAGGATTATAGTCTGTATTTTCCAAACTATGAGCCGCACCGGCCTGTAAGCCACAACCCCAAAGTTTTTTTTTTAAACCAGTAAACACACATATAAGCCGTAGATTTCTCTGCCGCTCCAGGTTTTCTACAGCGATGCAGCAGCAGCAGAGGGGGGCGGACAGCCAACATTTGAGTCATAACAGGTCAATTAAATATCACATCTATTATGGCTGAACTGATTACGGTAGTTTCCGAACGGTAACTGTAACAGTGCTGATCCTTCGTGTTGCTA